AAAGAAAAAAAGAAACACCGTTACATACAACAATAAAGATGTGTCTCCAAAATAGTATGCTGAGTGAAAGAAGCAGACACAAAAGGGTACACATTGTGTAATTCTGGTTCTACGAAACTCTAGGAAAATACACATTTAATGTATAGTGACATAAAAAAGATCAGTGGTTGCCTGTGTCTGGGATTTTGGGGTTGAGTAACTGAGAAGGGCTGTAAGGATACCTTTTGGTATCTAAGAAATGTTTATATTCTTAATTTAGTGTGCTTACAGAGATGTACATATTAGTCATAATTCATTACATTGTATACCTAAAGAGAGTGTATGAGTTATATCTTTGTAAAGTTTTTTTAAAGATATAGATTTTCAGAATGCATAAAAAAATCATGTGCTTCTTACAAGAGAATCATCTAAAGCATATAGACAGAAATATTGCAAATAAGATGGAAAATATATTTCTTTTTTTTTAAATGTAGGAGGCTCAATCACTGGGACACCCGTCACAGAGGAGGGACAGTCACTGGAGTACCCATTATGGAGGAGTCCACGAAATTAGGGGACCCCTCACAGAGGAGGACTGGGCACTGTGACACCCATTTGGAGGAGGCCTAGTTTTTTTTTTTTTTTTCCTGTTTCATCCAGACTTTCCCTGGGTAACTCCTGTTTATTTTATTTTATTTTATTTTTAAAAATATATATTTTATTTTAAAGATGTGATTTGGGATTAGGTATACAAGTGGATATGGTACAGGTAAAGTTTGAGTCTCCCTTTAGGGAAAATATATTTCATCAAATACTAATAACAACAATTCCAAACCAAACTCAAACAAATAAAAATAACTATCACCACCCAGATGGGGTTCCTTCTTCATGGAACTGACATTACAATAAAAGAGACAATCTCGTGGCTCAGCCTGTAATCCCAGCACTTTGGGAGATTGAGACGAGTGGATTGCCTGAGCCCGCGGGCAACTTGGTGAGACCTCATCTCTACAATAAATCAAAAATTAGTTGGGCATGGTAGAGTGCGCCTGTAGTTCCAGCTCCTTGGAGAAGAATTGCCAGAGCCCAGCAGGTCGAGGCTGCGGTGGCTGGGAGCATGCCATTGCACTCCAGTCTGGGTGACAGAGTGAGACTCCAACTCAAAAAAAAAAAAAAAAAAAGAGAGAGACAATCTCATAAGTATTAGACATAAGTATACTTATAAAATGTTTTAAGTGCTAATACAGTTGAAAAATAAGTATGAAATAAACTTCCACTTAAAATAATAGGCTACATTGTCTTCTTGATTCAGCCGTAGAGACAGCTTTCATTTTTTGAAAGTACTCTTATGGGCTGGGCATAGTGGCTCACATCTGTAATCCCAGCACTCTGGGAGGCTGAGGCCAGAGGATTGAGGCCAGGAGTTTGAGACCAGTTTGGACAACATGGTGAGACCCCATTTTTAAAAACAGAAAATTAGCTAGGCATGGTGGTGTGGCTCCTGTAGTCTAAGATATTCAGGAGGACAAGTTGGGAGGATCGCTTGAGCTCATGAGTTCGAGACTGCAGTGAGCTATGATTATACCACTGCACTCCAGCTGAGCAATAGAGTGAGATCCTGTTCCTAAAAAAAAAAAAAAAAAAAAAAAAAAATCTTTTTTTTTAAGAAAAAAAAAATAATTGAAAGAAGTATGCAATTTATTTAATCAAATCTAAAAGGAAAACGGCATGCTAAGAGACATACTGGAAGGGCATATGGAACTGAAAAAATATTTCTTTTTTTTTTTTTGAGTTGGAGTCTCACTCGGTCTCCCAAACTGGAGTGCAGTGGCCGCTCCTGGCCACCGCAGCCTCGCCTGCTGGGCTCCAGTGATCCTTCCGCCTCAGCTTTCCAAGTAG